AAAGAGAAAGCAGGCCTCCAGGTACAGGACTTGAACCACATGTGGGAGTCCAGAGCCTTAACCACTATGCCACCAGCCAACCCTATCTTAAGGGTAGGCCAAAGGAGGGTCCAAGTCACTTCATTTCTACATGGAAATTCTCATCTCTCTCTATTGGTTATGGGAATCCAAAGGAAGAAATGTCAGAATGGACTGCTCGACATGGGGCCAGGATCAGGCAAAGATGACTCACCTGCAGCAGCAGTAGCAGGGTCACCATCTACGTTGCTGCACAGCCCTGCTAAGACCTGGCTTTAACTGAGACAGCATCAGAAACCAAGTGAGAGAAGACAGAAAAAATAGTCCCTAACTTGAGTTCAAGTCTGAAATAGAAAATGTCACTCCAGAGCCTGTTTTAGGAATGGGTGGAGAAGAGGAGACCGATGTTTAGCTTATCTGTGAGGTGCAGATGCCTCTGGCCAACCCTTTCCCATGCCCTCCTGCCAAGGTACCTGGGTGTTATGGACAGTGCTGAAAACAGCTGGATTTCCAAGACCAGTATCCTCCTCCTTCTCCTCCTCTGGATCTGGGGTGAGATCTGGATCTGGATCCAGATCCTCCTTCTCTTCTTCTTCTTCATTCTCTTCCTCTTTTTCCAACTGGGAGTCAGGCACCAGTGCCTCATCAGGAGCCAAGGGGCCACAGGACTTGCCTGGCCCTTGGTTAGAGTGCAGGCCTGTGGAGGACGTTAGGTGGAGGCTCAGGTGTGCGGAGTCTCAGCTAGAGAGGCAGCGTCTCAGGAGCAAGGCTGTTCACAAGCCATCTCTGGCACTGCCTTCAAACAACATCTCTTGTTCTGCTGTTTCAACTCAGCCTCCCTACTCCAGGGTGCCCCCAACCATCCCCCACTCAAGCAAACAGAACCTTGCAGGTGCTGGCATCTTCACTTTCCACACCCCCTCTTCTGTGGCCAGATTAGGCATCACCACAAGCTTCTCCACCTGCTCTCTCTCTCCTTTTCGTTGCCCCCTATTTTAAATGGATTTTTTTAAATTGAAAGTTTAATTGATGTAACAGTTGTACATATTTTTGGGGTACAGTGTGATTTTTCTTCATTGCATGAATACATTGATCAAAATAGGGCAATAAACATAGCCACCGTCACAAACAATATCATTACTCTTGCGTTGTGAATATTCAAAATCCTCTCTTGTGGCTAATTCAGAATAAACCTTGAATTGTCATGTTTCCTCTTTCATTGAGTAAGTTCCAGCTGGTCACTGCAAATCTACCCTGCTGTGTAACTGGATACTTGGTGTGTGTGTGTGTGTGTGTGTGTGTGTGTATGCTCACTTAACAGTCATATGAGGCTGTCAAGGCTGATCATTCTACTGCATAGATGAGGGAAACAGAGCCCAGAAAAGTGATCTCAAGCTAGTTGCCAAGCATAACGTAGCTAGAAATGGGAAGGATTTGGAATCACCGCCAGTGGTTCTGGAACCCTAGCCCATGTCTGAAGCAGACCAGCAAACCTCCACAGCCCTGGGATGTTTATGTAGACACCATGGCCCATTTGGAGATACCTTTGGGGGATTGTCTCTTGGCAGGCTGGCAGACTTCTTTCGTGGCCGTTTCCTCCAATGAGAGAGCCTTGTCAGGCTCTGGACGGCAAATCTGGGACAGGGAAGAGATCCAGAGACACCTTCTGCCTCAGTCATTGCGGATGACGTGGCACCCTAAAGCAACTATAGTCTCTTCAAGATGGTCAGAGAATTATTGACCCAAGTTCTCAACGAGAAAGACCCTGCTATCTTGGTTAGCACCTCCACAAGCCCAGCTCTAGGGAACTGTTCCACGAGCAGACAGAAATGAGGACTAGGAGATGTAAGAGGCATTTCTCACACAGACACCACAGACACTATCTGTCCGCCGTGACACCTGGCTGCTGACACCCACCTTCTGACTGTTGCTGTCCTTTCTGCTTGGGTCAGCCATGGCAGCCTGCTGTCGGGGCCCCCTTGCTGCTCCTGACTTTAAGAGTCCCCGCTCCACCCCTGCCCACCCATTAAAGGGCCAACAACCCACAACCACTGGGTCTTGGTAGAAGTAAGAAAAAAAAAATCGGATGATAAAAAAATGAGAAAGAGAGATAAACTGGGTCTTGGTAGAAGTAAGAAAAAAAAAATCTGATGATAAAGAAATGAGAGAGAGAAATTGCATTTTAACCATCTAAGATTGTGAGTCCAGATTGTTGGGATAGATATTTGGAAAAAAAATACTTAAAAGGAGTATCCCTGTTTTTCACATCCTTACAGGAACTTTGTGAGATTGCATTCCACTTAACCCCCCCACCTTTTTGCTCCAATAAAATTGAATAGGGAAGGCATGGGTGGAGCTTGAGGAGGTTGCCTAGCAACCAAGTCTTGGCACTTCAAGGCAGGGCACTTGAGACTCCCTCAAGTCCACCTGGTAAGGTTTGTCTTTAATGGGGTCACTGAAGCTTAAGTCTAGCTCTAACTGATCAGAGATGCCTGTGAACTTAGAAGCCAATTCTTCAAGATTAAAATACATTTGCATGAGCTATGCAAATTGGAAGCTCAAGAGGGCTAGCCAGGTGGCATAGTGGTTAAGCCAGCTGAATCCCACATGACTGACCACGTGGTTCAAGTCCTGGACCTGGAGGTTTGAGGACCGTGCTGGGTGCATGTGCCTGCATGTTCACGATCCCGAGAGGAGAATGGAGGAGAGGGGATTGCCACACAGTCATTCCCTGAAGCATGGTTAAAAAAAAAAAATCAACAACAACAAAAGCAAATATATCACTAGGGCTAGTAGGCAAAACCCGAGACCTATCTGAGTCTCATCTAACCCCTACATGATCCAGGGCTCTGTGACCACATCCTGTGTTCAAGTGAAACTTGTATGACTTTGTAAAACTTCTGAATAAGTTTAAAAACCAAGACCATTTTTCTATATCGAAAATGCAGCCTATTGTCATAGTTACAAGACATGATTCTCTGTGTCTCTAAAAGAAAATATTTATTTCAAAAGTTTTGTTGCACCGCGGGACCAGCAGTTAGCGTAATGGCTATGTCGCTGGACTCCCACGTAGTCGACCGCGGTTTGAGTCCCGGACCCAGTGGCTTAAACTCACGCCAGGCGCGTGTGCGTGCGTGCCCAAGATCCCGAGAGGAGAATGGAGGAGAAGGGATTGCGGCGTGGCCATCCCCCCTGGGGGGTGATTTCCTGCTTTCTATCTCTCTGTCTCTCTCTGTCTGTCTGGCGAGCGCATGCGCCCTACAGCAAAAACCTCTCAAAAAAAAAAAGTTTTTTTGCAGACTAAAACTGTATGGGTAGGGGAACAAATTTAAGCAGCTTGAAAGTTATTGGCAAAACTTTAAATATCTGAATTGGGTTCAGCCCTTTTGGTAATGTTATTCAGCTGTTTCTCGCAAGAACTTCCTAATAATTTACTTTAGCATTATTAATGGAATGGTCAAATGGTGAATTTCGGTGTTATAGAAGTAGTTCATTAGGTGTGGTTGAGACCAGGTCTTAGGGAGAAACATTTGCTGCACACAGATTTTCATTCCGAAGGGACTACCAGTACCAAACCAGGTAGGCTCAGGATAGGTTTTTAAGCTCAGAGCCCTGCTCTGGGTGTTCAGTTTCACTTGGCCCTAGTGGCTTTTGTGAAAGTCCCTTACCCTTGCCTGAAGTCTATTTGTCTACCGATTCCCTAGATTTTCCAGCCCTCCTGTCATCATTCAGCTAAGCTAAGTTTAAACTAAAACTTGCCAGGCTTGGGGTACAACAATGAATAAAAGAGAGTACAGACAGATACATAGGATTATTGGATTGGTATATAATAAATTGATGTTTAATAAAATAATGTTTACAACTGCTATAGAAAACTCAGCTGAAGCTTCACCTCTTCCAGGAAGCCTTCTCAGATGCTCTCCTCCCTTCTAGGTTGGATCTAGTACCTTTCTTACATGTGTTCATTGGTCCTTATGCCTTTTTATCAATTTCTCAGGATTGTAATTCTGTGTTCACATATGTCACCTCCATTGAGAACAAAGATGTGTCTTCTTCATTTCTGGGCCTCTAGCATTTAACACAGTCTCTGGAAAAGAGTAGTTTCTCAGTACATGTTGATTGAGCTGAACTAAAGAAAAATAAGGGTCCTTCCCCTCAAGAGACTTCTGCAGGTGGAATTTTTACCTAGGTGTGCCCTATTCCAAACCACACTTCAGATTGTTTCCAAGAAATGTCATTTTAAGAAAACAAATCTCATGCTCCCTAAACTAGGAGTCAAAAAAGAAGAGATATATAGTTTGAATAAACAATATGGGACCAGCCTTGAGGCACTGTGGTTAGATGCTGCACAGAGGAAACTAGATCCTGCATGACCAACTGGGGTATGCGTGCAGGCCCTGCCGACTTCATGCAGGTTGTGCACGTGCCCAGGATTCTGGGAGGATTAGAAGAAAAGGAATTGTGCAGTGACCAGGCCCTCTCTGGGGTGCTTTCTTTCTTTGTTTTTCTGTCACTCTCTCTTGTGCACACACACCCTTTAGCATTTAAAAAAAAAAAAGTAACACTTTTGACCAGCCACGGTAGTGTAGAAGTAGTAACATAAGGCTCTGTGGCATTGAGGCCATGTGGCAAGGTCCTGGGTTCAAGTCTCAAGTTGTCTCTGTGCATGCCAGGTGAGAGTACATGCCTGTGATCCTGGCTAGCTGAGGCTGAGGTAGAATTGTGGCATGGAGACTCCATTGGAGTGTCTCTCTTTGTCTCCCTCTCTTGTTTAATAAATAAAATAAAATAAAAGTTAAAAAATATAAACTATCTGGGACCAGCAGTTGGCGTAATGGCTATGTCACTGGACTCCCATGTAGTCAACTACAGTTTGAGTCCTGGACCCGGTGGCTTAATCTCACACTGGGTGTGTGTGTGTGCGTGCCCAAGATCCCGAGGTGTGTGTGCGTGCCCAAGATCCCGAGAGGAGAATGGAGAAGGGATTGCCACGTCGTCATCTCCCCTGGGTGGTGATTTCTTGCTTTCTGTTTGTCTATCTCTCTTCCTGGTGAGTACACGCGCCCTATAGCAAAAATCTCTCAAAATACATATATAAACTATCAAAAAATGTCTAAACAATAAGGAAAAAAAAACCAGCCTAGTTCTGTTGGCATCTGTACCACAGTCTAAAGAACAAAGTTCACTCTTTTTTTTTTTTTTTTTTTAATTTGCCAGAGGGTGCATGCACTTGCCAGAGAGAAAGTGAAAAAGCATCCCTTATTGGGAAAAGTCTTGACACAATCCCTTCTTCTTCACCTCTCCTTCCCTTTGGTATTTTAGGCAACTCATGCACACACGTCTGTTTTTCAAACCACTGGGTCTCACACCACACAGCCAGCCATGTGAGATCCAGCTGCCTCACTGCTACGCTGCCCGTGAGGGCACCAAGGACCTTTATAGGCTCCTCCCTGATGCTTCCAGGTAGTTGGTTGCTTTTATGGTGTTATAATCTATTTATGGATCCATAAGCCAGAATTTATGAGTCCCTCATGGGTGGAACTCTCCCTCATGCCAGCCCAGTGACAGTAGCCTGTGGCCACTGAGTAAATGCTCGCGACATAACCATTATGCCATCTGCTGGCCCCCATGATTCCCTTTTTAACAATGGCAACAGCAGACAGAGCAGAAGTGCACTAGCTCATCCAGAGTGTGGTGTACGTGAAGTAGACCAGGAACGGTAGCATCAGCAAGGCTGCAGCCTGCCATTTTTGCACGGTGAGCTAGGCCCACATTGTCAGGGCTGACCTGGCTCCGTTGGAAGCAGTGATAGGAGGGGAGGACTGGGGCTCTTAACCAAGCCAAACTTTACCAAAAGTCCTAACCGTGTAATCTGTGGTTGATGATACCCTGCCTCCAACATGGATGTCCTCAAAATTCTTTGTACATTTAGAGTCTGCTTAACTGAAAGGTAATTTTACTTCAATAAGGCAAGTATTTACACTGAATTAGGCCTGGCAATGCACCCGAATGTACATGATTCTAGAAAACAGGGATAAATTGATTATCTATTGATTGCTGCTGTAACAAATTTCCACAGACTTGGTGGCTTAAAACAACACAATTTAGACCAACAGATGGCATTAGCAGTTACTTCACTGGATTCCTACACAGCCAGCCATGGTTTAAGCCCTGGACCTGGTGGCTTGAAACTCATGCTGGGCACA